AGCAGAGGACAGAGCAGCCCCAAAAAGCCTAAAGGAGGACCATTTGATCATCATCCTTCCAGCAGACAAAGGCCAAACCACAATTAGCACGATCAGAACACAATATATATGAAAAGACAAAGAATTACTGAAAGACAAAGAAACCTATATCTTATAGAAACTGGACCATTGGATCAAAAGAAGTCTTAGTGACCTTACGAGGAAAGGTCAAATTGCTAAAGAACAGTGTCAGATGAAAAGCAGTGGACCCATCCTCCATGCTTTTATGGATATCCCCAAAACACACCCTAAAGCATCTTCCAGAGCCTTCCTGGAACCAGTGGTGACCATTTTATCCATGACTTTTTGCATAAAATACTGTCGCTATTCTTACATTTAAAAAAAGTAAAGGCTCAAGATCTAGCAATCTATAGAACTGAATATAAACAGTCTTTGCTTTTTAACATTTTGTCCTACTGCAGAGCAAATGCAAAATGCATGACTCAAACATCAGAAGAATATAATGGCTGCACTGGAACTACAGTTTATCTAGCTGAGCATCTTGCCTCTCAGAGCAAAGCAGAAGAACCACAAAAGTGATCCACAGCAACTTATGGTCAAAATTGGGAGCATCCTATCAAATTCTGTACCTGTCAATAGTGGTGTCCCCCAAGGCAGTGTTCTAGGACCAACTCTCTTCATACTCTACATAAATGACCTCTGTGATCATATTAAGAGCAACTGCGTTCTTTTCGCTGATGATGTAAAGCTGTTCAATACCACAGACAATACTGCTACCCTTCAAAAAGATCTTGACTGTGTATCAGAATGGTCAAACAAATGGCAACTTCAAATCTCAACAAATAAATGCTCTGTCTTACATATTGGCAAAAAAAATCCGAAAATAAAATACAAGCTGAATAGTCAAGATCTTGTTGATGATCCAAGCTCTGTAAAGGACCTTGGAATACTCACCTCTAATGATCTAAGTGCTAGAGCCCACTGCAACTATATAGCCAAAAAGGCATTAAGAGTTGTTAACCTAATCTTACGTAGCTTTTTCTCTGGTAATATCACACTACTAACTAGAGCATACAAAACATTTGCTAGACCAATACTCGAATACAGCTCATCAGTCTGGAACCCACATTACGTATCTGATATTAGCACAATTGAGAAAGTCCAGAAATATTTCACAAGAAGAGTTCTCCACTCCTCTACTCGTTGTAGAATACCTTATGGCACCAGACTTGAAATTCTAGAACTAGAAAACCTGGAATTACACCGTCTTCGGTCTGATTTAAGCATGGTATATAAAATCATACATTGCAATGTCCTACCTGTCAATGAATACTTCAGCTTCAACCATAACAACACAAGAGCACACAACAGATACAAACTCAAGGTTAACCGCACCAAACTTGATTGCAGGAAATACGACTTTAGCAACAGAGTGGTCAATGTCTGGAATACTCTACCCGACTCTGTAGTTTCTTCCCCAAACCCCAAAAACTTTAACCTTAGACTGTCTACTATTGACCTCACCCCTTTCCTAAGAGGTCTGTAGGGGGCGTGCATAAGCGCACCAACGTGCCTACCGTCCCTGTCCTATTGTTTCTTTTATTTTTCTTATATGTACCCATTTCATGTATTCATAACTATGTATACACTTATACTTATTATCTTGTAAACAATTGACAAATAAATAAAATAAATAAAAAAATAAAAAAAATAAACTTATGTTCAGTGATAAACTGCTTTCAGTCCTGGAATTTCTTTATAGTCTGTAGATAGGGCAATTCTACCTCCATTAGTATAGCTGGGATGGGACTACAGACATACACAATTCCCTAGCAAATTCCTACTTTTCAGCTTAAATGGTGAAAATGGTGTTAAATACCTTACTTTTCCAGCAGAATGGCATTTACTCTACTTCTTGAAGCCCTTCTATTAGTTTTGGGAAATTTGATATTCTTCCTCACGTATTTGTGAAAGGCTTAAAACAAAGGCAGTCTTACAGAATATATTGTAATTCAACCCCAGCATAGCTGCTAAGGTTTCTTAATTCTTTATTTATGCTTTATGGTAACAAAATAGCAACAAAGAGGCATCAATGCTAACTAAACCTTTTATTTTATTAAATATTTGATTAAATATGTTTGTGGCCCATCTTGTTGCAATCAATCAATGCCAATTTCAGCAAGGTTGAAATTATTTTTATCTTGCCATTGTTCTGTATAAATACTGCCAGGCAACAAATCAACATTAATACTTTTCTCTTCCTAGTTTCCCCACAACTCCTCTGTAAGATGGGTTGAGGGAGTGACTGGCTTGGAAGTAAACTCAGTCTAAGGCAATACCGGCACTGTCTTCTGATTTGTAGCTTGATGCCTTAAAAAGAACTCAAGAGAAGAGCAGCAAAGATGATTAAAGGACTGGAAGCTTAAAAACCCGCTGGGTTTTTCTACTAATTTATCATTTGATTATTCTTTTATTAATTTTATTTCTTTATATATGAGCTTTTTTAGATTCCTGTAAGCTGCCTTGAGTCGCCATGTGCAATAAGGCAGCAATATAAATTTCCTAAAGTAAAATAAATAAAACCACATGGTTGCAGGAACTGGAAACGTTTTGTCTACTGAAAGGGACTAAGGGTGCCTTCATTACAGTGTCCCAACATGTGACAGCTGCCACAAAGAAGAGGGGAATCAACCTATTTTCCAAAACATTAGAAAGCAGACAAGAAACAAAGGATGGAAACTAAACTAGGATAAGGAAAAACAATAAACCGTCCGAACGGCTGGCCTTTATTAGTTGTGGGTGCTCCATCGCTGGGGGCTTTTAAAAAGAGATTTGGACGGTCAACTTGGCTCAAATAGTACAGGGTCTCCTACCTGAGTAGGGGATCGAACTAGAAGACCTCTAAGGTCCCTTCCAACTCTGTCGTTCTGTTCTGTTCAAACTACCAGGGCAAATGTCTGCTTCGAAATGCATACAGCTAGATCCAGAAGACTTGGGTCTTCCTATGCCCCCGACTCCAAAGCCCCGTCCCCACGTTCCCTCCTCAACCACCTAACCCCAACCCACACCCATTCCTGAAGGACATCGCCATACCTCACGGTCAAACGCAACGTTCGCCCTCAGCTAGATCCACGCGCGAGCTCGAACTGCTGACCGATCGAGCAGGCTTGGTCAGAGCTCAGATTCAAATTGTTGTTACCGTTTCCGATTGGCCGTTGAGACAACAATACTGCGTTTTCATTGGCTACATTCTTATTCTCTGACATCAGTCCTTCGAACAGTCGGGGAGATGTAATTGGATGACGGTGCGGGGATTTTAATTGGCGCCCTAATTAAAAAGTTCAGCCTACCCAAAGCCCGGATTGGTTCGACGATTTCATATCTCGATTGTTGCTGCTTCTCCGGCAGTTGGGCGTAAAGGAGGGAAACCTTGCGATGTTTGTGTTCAGATGTGAAAATGAAAAGAAAAGGAAAATGAAAAGACGGTGAAGCTTGGGTTGAAAGTCTCCGCTATAGGAGACCTGACTTTGACTGGCTGGCTGGCTTGAGGCACATCACACTCAACTGCAATACTCTTATTGGTGATCGAGGTGCTGCAGTTTTAGCTGATTGCCTTGCAGAAGATCTGTGGCTAAAGGGTTGGCATCTCTGGAGAAACTATCTTTAGCCCACTCACCAATAGGTGATGGAGGTTTGGAAATAATTTGTCAGAGTGTGAAGAATTCAGCTTGCATCAAATCTATAGATTTGTCAGGATGCAGTTTAACCTGGCGAGGAACAATCCTAAACCCCACAAGGCAGAGGGAGGGGGCAGGAAGTATTGTGGAAAAGTTGCAACCCATTAATTTCCCCCTTTCTTAATTGGGAAATGCTATTTCAGCTCTCCGGGAGGGTTTTTTGTTATGTATTTCTCATACTCTTCTCTGGAGAATTAGCATTTGAGATTGCTAGAAAACACTATTCAGCCCCTTGAGTAGTTCTGCTCGATTACTCTTAGGGAACCCGATTCCTAAGATTCCTTGTCAAAGGAATGTTTTACTGTGTAACACTTTTTTTCCTCTTGCTGTTTCGATCGTGCTTTCTTATTGTTCGCTCTGCTAATCTAGTTAATGATTGGAATGGCATTTTGTAATCTTCACAAAATAATTACCCTACCTCCCAATTGCTTCCTCTAAACAGATTCTAAGCTGTGAATAATGATTAGAATAGAATAGAATAGAATAGAATAGAATAGAATAGAATAGAATAGAATAGAATTCTTTATTGGCCGAGTTTCCTTTATTGACACACAAGGAATTTGTCTTTGGTGCATATGCCCCCAGTGTACATAAAGAAAAAATAAAATACATTCATTAAGAATCATAAGATACAACACTTAGTGATAGACATAGGTTACTAAATCGTACTAGGAAACAAAACAATATAAATTGTAAAGGTACAAGCAACAAGGTTATAGTCATAATTGGGAAGAGGTGGGTACTAGGATGAGAAGAATAATACTAATAATCTTAGTAAATAATTTGAAAGTGTTGTGGGAATTAGTTGTTTAGCAGAGTTATGGCATTCTGAAAAAACTCCTTGTGTCTACTTGTTCTGATATGCAATGCCCTATAGCAAGGGTCTTCAAACTTGGCAAGTTTAAGACTTGTGGACTTCAACTCCCAGAATTCCTGAGCTAACATGACTGGAGGAGGAATTCTGGGAGTTGAAGTCCACAAGTCTTAAAGCTGTTAAGTTTGAAGACCCCCTACCCTGTAGCGTCATTTTGAGGGTAGAAGTTGAAACAATTTATCTCCAGGATGTGAAGGGTCTGTACAGTCCTCTTAATAGATTGCACTAAAAGTTCTTTAAACCTTTCTTGCCCCGCTTTCCACTTGGTGGCTGTTGCGTGCTAAGGAAATACCAAGCCAACCCGGAAGTGACCGATGTGACTCTTGTTTCATAAGTCTATGCTCAGAAAACCCGAGGCTTGTGTGGCGTGCCGGGACCGGAACGGGAAGCCATTGCTGCTTCTCCCGCGTGGGAAAACTCGTGTTACTTTCCGGCTACACGCTGTTACTGCGAGTTCGGGATTTTTACGTGTCGGGATTTTTTGTTTCTCTTATTGAAGGCGTAAAGAGTGAGTAAGTAGAATTGGATGAGCAAATGCCTCTTTTTGGATATCCATAGCCGGGGTGGGGAAGGTGGGGCAATGCACCCTGTGCGTATGAACTGGGAAGTTAAGGGAGCCCACTTCCAAAGAAGTGGGTTAAGTATTGAGTGTTAAAACTGCTCCAAAATCTTCTCAAGTAAGAGGTAATAATAAACTCTTAAATTGTGATCTGTAGGTAAAAAAAATGGAGCTTTTTCACGAGGTTCTGGTGCGTCGTTACAAACTGCCAGCTGCATTGGTAGAAACCTGATATCTTCTGGTGTCGGGTTTATTGATTGTGAGCAGCAGCTATCATTTATTTATTTTTTTAAACGTGTTTGTATTTCTGAACTTAGAACAGTTGGTCTTTTAGAGGCATGTCGTGGTGTGTAAAAATAACTTAAAATGTGCTTCTCCCCTTGAGGCAATCTAAGAGAAGAACATGGTGCGCAAACTGAAATTTCATGAGCAGAAGCTTCTCAAGAAGCTAGACCTGGTGAACTGGGAAGCTGCATCAGGCAATCTAGCTGAACTGCGTGTGCTTCGTCGTTTCCGTATACAGCGGAGGGAAGATTACACTCGCTACAATCAGCTTAGTCGCGCTGTTCGGGAAGTAGCACGCCGGATCAGAGACCTGGGTGATGTACCAGAATCAGTAGGTTTCCGTGCTAGGAGCACTGCTGCTCTTCTGGACAAACTTTATGCCATGGGTGTGATACCCTCTAAGAGCTCTCTTGAGCAGTGTGATCGAGTCTCAGCCTCTTCCTTCTGCCGCCGCCGTTTGCCTTGTCTGCTCCTAAAGCTCCATATGGCGCAAAACTTGAAATCTGCTGTGACCTTTGTGGAGCAGGGACATATTCGGGTGGGACCAGAAGTTGTAACAGACCCTGCATTCTTGGTGACCAGGGCCATGGAGGACTTTATTACCTGGACTGATTCCTCTCGCATCCGACAACATGTACTCAACTACAATCAGGAACGGGATGATTTTGACTTTATTTGTTAAGAACAAATTATCCATTTGGGTGATTATATCTTAAATATTTAACTCCGTTAAACTCAGCTTCAGGAAGTGTCCTACCGGTAGATTTCTTTATTTGTTTTGCTTGTTAAATTGTGCATACAGTATGTAAACAGACTGTAAACCAAACACACCCATTTGTGATCAGGTGCCATTTTTATGGTTAGAGTTTCTGTCAGAAGTGGAGGACAACAATCTCATATGGGCATCTTGCAAAACATTCTGTGTATTCCTTTTAATTGACTTCATTTTGGATCACAGCAAAGATTAATAATTGGCTTGCATGTGACCTCTTCACAGAAGATAGTATCAAATCTTGTCCCATCTAGAATGCTTTAATTAAAACAGATTTTATTATCCCCTTTTGATCAAGATTTGGATGGCTGCCTGCAACAATTCTATTCAGTCATTATTTTCAAGAATTATTTTTTCTTGGCATCTCAACAACTTTGTTCTGTTTGTTTCTATAGTAACATGTTCTCTATTACTGTACAAGCTGTTATGCCAATGTTAAATTGTTAGCTAGAACTTAAGGTTTTGATCTGGTTATTGACTGTACGTCTGTATCTTATCCACAGCATCTACAATAATGGAAAGAAATTTACTTTGATTTTGGTTATAATACTGTGTAACATCTCAAAACATTGAGTTCAGTTTTGGAGCATACAGCTCATGTTTCAACTCACATGGCCCAGTTCTGAATGGGCTGCAGCCCAGGGGTTGAGGACCTATGTTCTAGAGAGTACAATATGTACTCTTCTATTCTTAAAGGAAAACAAATCCATTGCAAAATGCATTGAGAAAGGCATTTCTTCCTTAAAGGTAATTGAAGTGAATTAAGGGTATTTTTGCACAATATGCTAAGCCATTGTTTAGTGAAAAATTACAGCTGGCTGTATTCACACTTAAGATTATGATTACTTAGAGCAGGGGGTCCCGCCTTTATGAACTTTGAGCTTGTTCATCAATCCTCAAACATGTATTACATGAAAATAATAAATGCTACTTCAATAATACTTCATGTAATAACTCTTGGGGGTCAATACTGATCATACTTATTTATCAAATTTAGGTACCACCCATCTTGCTAACCAGGTGACTGGACAGATTCCAGGTAAAGATCGTGAATATTAAAAAGTATAATTAAAATACACAAAACAGGATAAGGAACAAGAAAAAACAAAAGTTAAAAGATAAGTTAAAAGGTGGAGGAAATATCTTCAAGGCATCAACCATCCTCAAGGCCGAATAACTCCAGGAAGGCCAGGAAAACTGGGCCAATCTCACCTCCAGGGGGATGACATTTCTTAAGGTAGGAGCAGAGTAAGTTATTTTCCTGGACCCCACTAATCAAAATTACATATGCCTGTATCTGCCCAACTTGAACAATGCGAGACTGGACGACTTGCAAGAAACCAAATTAAAACAATAACCAAGAATAAATAGTAATACTAAGTGACCCGGCTCACATTCATATTCTCTCCTGATGGAAACTACTCATCTCGACCCCAATGTTTGGGGAAATAATCATGTTTTTAAGGCATTTTTGGAAAGTGTTATTTAAGGTAAATGTACCCTACATAAGAAAGAAGGCAAAGTCTCCTAAAGATAATCAGAAATAACAGTAAGTCAGTAGAACATTGGCAAGTAATTTATTTGGATTATTGTATGAAGAAATGTTAAGACTGCAAAGAAACTAATGAAATCTTGACAACTATTTTTATTGTAGGAGTTGTTGGGCCTGAATTGGTTGTTTAGATTTGTTTGAATGACTGAGGTGTCTTTGAATGAATTTTTTTTTTTTTTAAGGAGATAGATACTGAGGAATTGTGGCAGATATTGGTGCCAGTAGATGAGATTCTTGAAGTTTCTAACAAATTGAAAATTTTTAAAAATCAGGTAATTTCCACTGAAAAATATACACAATGAAATATATAGTTAATGACCCAATATATCCCAATTTAAAGCCACCAATTTTAAAACATGCAGCTATGGGTAAAAAATAGTGCATCCATTTGTTGAGTGGAATGAATGTCAAACGAAGCTAGAAGGGTTATAAGAGTACAAGACTATTGTGCTACATTGGTCTGAAATATATGTCAAAAGAAACAAAATTGAATACACCAGGAATGTGTTCCTTAAGAACCATATAGGGTAAAACAAGAAGTAGCAAGTAATGAATGAATATAAGCTGAATGTAAATGAGAGTGACCAGTGCTGTGACAATCCTGCCGTTGTCATGCCATCTTTTTGGCTTGTGTATCTGCAGAAATGCAAAAACAATACAAAACAGCTATTAGCCTAGTAAAATCTTAAATTACAGGAACTGTGAGAAATAGAAAGGGATATGTGATATGGACTACATTTCCCAGGATACCTTTAACTACATTTACCATGATGCATTCCCTTAAGGAGACAGCTCACAATTCCTAAGTAACTATCCCAAATCCCATTAACTCTAAACTGTCTGGACAGCACAATTTTGGAACAATTCTTTCAAGATTCTTGAAGGGCTATCCAGTCCATATGTATAGTAGTTTATGCTGGACAATTCCTTTGGTAATTTCTAATATACACTGCTCAAAAAAATAAAGGGAACACTTAAAACAACACAATGTAACTCCAAGTCAATCACACTTCTGTGAAATCAAACTGTCCACTTAGGTAGCAACACTGACAATTTCACATGCTGTGAAAATGGAATAGACAACAGGTGGAAAGCATAGGCAGTTAGCAAGACATCCCCAATAAAGGAGTGGTTCTGCAGGTGGTGATCAGTTCCTATGCCTTCTGGCTGATGGTTTGGTCACTTAAATGCTGGCGGTGCTTTCACTCTAGTGGTAGCATGAGACAGTCTGCAACCCACACAAGTGGCTCAGGTAGTGCAGCTCATCCAGGATGGCACATCAACGTGAGCTGTGGCAAGAAGGTTTCCTGTGTCTATCAGCATAGTGTCCAGAGCATGGAGGCGCTACCAGGAGACAGACCAGTACATCAGGAGACGAGGCTGTAGGAGGGCAACAACCCAGCATCAGGACCGCTACCTCCGCCTTTGTGCAAGGAGGGACAGGAGGAGCACTGCCAGAGCTCTGCAAAATGACCTCCAGCAGGCCACAAATGTGCATGTGGCTGCTCAAATGGTCAGAAACAGACTCCATGAGAGTGGTATGAGGGCCTGATGTCCACAGGTGGGGGTTGTGCTTGCAGCCCAACACCGTGCAGGATGTTTGGCATTTTCCAGAGAACACCAAGATTGGCAAATTTACCACTGGCGCCCTGTGCTCTTCACAGATGAAAGCAGGTTCACACTGAGCACATGTGACAGACGTGACAGGGTCTGAAGATGCCATGGAAAATGTTCTGCCTGCAACAACATCCTCCAGCATGACCAGTTTGGCAGTGGGTCAGTAATGGTGTGGGGTGGCATTTCTTTAGGGGGCCGCACAGCCCTCCATGTGCTCTGCAGAGGTAGCCTGACTGCCATTAGGTACCAAGATGAGATCCTCAGACCCCTTGTGAGACCATATGCTGGTGCGGTTGGCCCTGGGTTCCTCCTAATGCACAACAATGCTAGACCTCATGTGGCTGGAGTGTGTCAGCAGTTCCTGCAAGACGAAGGCATTGATGCTATGGACTGGCCTTCCCGTTCCCCAGACCTGAATCCAATTGAGCACATATGGGACATCATGTCTCACTCCATCCACCAGCGCCACATTGCACCACAGACTGTCCAGGAGTTGGGGGATGCTTTAGTCCAGGTGTGGGAGCAGATCCCTCAGGAGGCCATCTGCCACCTCATCAGGAGCATGTCCAGGCGTTGTAGGGAGGACATACAGGCACGTGGAGGCCACACACACTACTGCGCCTCATTTTGACTTGTTTTAAGGACATTACATCAAAGTTGGATCAGCCTGTAGTGTTTTTTTCCACTTGAATTTTGAGTGTAACTCCAAATCCAGACCTCCATGGGTTGCTAAATTTGATTTCCATTGATAATTTTTGTGTGATTTTGTTGTCAGCACATTCCACTATGTAATGAACAACGTATTTAATAAGAATATTTCATTCATTCACATGTCTTATTTTTGTGTTCCCTTTATTTTTTTGAGCAGTGTATATACTGACTGACCTAAGAGAATTGCGATAGCTCCAGCTGTTGAAGATTAATTGCTGGTTTTAGTAACTGGTAGAACTAGTTAATCTAAAATGGACATGGCAGTATTATACTGCTGAAGCTTGGTTTTGTTCCTGGGATGGTAAAATTCATCTAAAGAAGAGGAAAGCATGATTTGAGAAATGTTTGTGGATGACAAGCAGGAGGTATAACAAGATCTTGTCTACCCTTTGTAGATTATCCCACAGGGACTGTAACGATAGAAGATGAAGTTTATCAACCATAGGAAAGCAAACTAGCTACTTGATTAACAGGGAAAATTGGCTCCTCAATTCTGGATAGGGGTAGCATTAGTACTGTATTGGTATTTACAAACACAGAGGGGTACAATTATTATATTAACAGAATAACAGTTGGAAGGGAGCTTGGAAGTCTTCAAGCCCTGCTCAAGCAGGAGACCTCATATAATTTCCGACAAATGGCTATTCACTATCGTTAAAAATCTACAATGGGTGTCAAATTCAATTTCATTGAGGGCTGCATCAGGGTTGTGTTTAACTTTGGAGGGCTGGGGTGGCGTGGCCGGGTGTCACACAAGACTCATGTCAGGGGCACCCGTGGTGGCCAAGTTCTAAGACAGGACTTCCCTGAGACTCCCTCACTCATAATCTGCCTTGCCTTCCTTTTCCTTCCCCCTTCTCCTTTCTTCTTCCTTGCTCTCTTCCCATCTTTTCTTCTTCTTTGTCTTTCCTCTTTCCCTTTCTCCTTTCCTGCCCTGTTTTGCATGCTCAAGTGCAAAAGGGGAAATATTTCTCCATTTGTTTTTAGTTTGTTTTGATAGCCCTCCGCCAGTGAAAATGCCTCCCCCCCCACACCCCACTTTCACTGGCAAAGGCACCGTGGGCTGGTCCCACAGGCCAGATCTAAGTACCCCTCAGACTG